TGATCATAGCATCTTAAAATTACAAAAGGAGAAATGGAAAGTTCTCTAAATTAAAAGCAATTCAGGGATACATTAAAAAAAAAAGAAAAATTTGGTGAAGGCCTTCTAAATGAGGGGAAACGGGGAGACAAATGATGACTTCAACTTTTCATCAACTTTCTGTATTGCTTCAAATACTTTATATCTTGTGCATGACTTCTTTTATACAATAATTACTTTTAATCACCATCAATTAGGTAATGTCTTTATTAGTAAAAATTAATAAAGCTGATAATGAATACTTAAAACAAGTAGGATGGCTGAAAAGAATCTATCGGAGAAATTGATACACCATTCAGAAATTTATCAGTGTCGTAGCCAAAAGGTAAAACTTCAGTTATGTTTTATAATACTTAAATATGTCACTACTCAGAATCTATCACATCACAATTAATACTTAGACTCTTCACTGCAGGACAAATCTTCAGAGAGAAAATCCATCAGAGAGCCGACAATGCATCATTCCCAAGGCATCTCTCTTTACTAAGCTCCTGAAGAGTCTCATCTTGCTTTGCTGATTGCCTTCTGAGTTAGGCTTACGTGGTACCGGCAGTTTTGCCACTGCCCTGTCCATTTAGCTAAGCTGGAATGCCATTTCCCAGAGTTCTCTTGCCTGTGTGATTCTGTACGGCCCTGAGAGACCTATGTGAAATCCAGGAGGTAGAAGTGAAGATTTCTGGACGTTACGGTTAAGGGGCTGCTTAGCTACTGGTGTATCGGGCTTGTGGCAGCTCCAGATCCCCCAGGTCTCCTCCTCCTTCTGCTCTGAGTCCTGGGCCAGGTGTGTGTGCAGCTCCAGGATAACGGGGGGCCAACGTCCCCCCTGCAGGTCCCCCACAGCACTGAGGTTGGTCGTGGTAATAAGAGAACAGAAGTGGGTTCCACTGTGTCCTTATGGGTCTCAGGTTGTCCTCATGCGTGCTGGCCTGTCTTTGCCTCCTCTGCACTCAGCTTTCCTTCTCGTATGCAGATCTGATCGACTTGGAGTAACTTCAGGTTCAACCCTAGATGCAGAGTCAACAGCCTGCACAGATCACTCACCCAGCTCCCACATTCGTGTCAGGTCTACCCCTTGTAATAAACCCTTACTCTAGACCATGGGTCTAGCTGCTATAAGCTTCTATGTACACCACCATCTTGTTGTCTTTGCATTTTGAACAGTGTGTTAAGCCTCAAAGTCGTAATATCCACTGTCTTTGGTAGAAGGAGAAGACAGGTATTTGGTGGTAGAAGAAAAGGAAGGGATGCTTAGAAAGGTAAAAGCTTGTATAGGAAGCTCCCAGAAGATTCTCAATGCTACAAATGCCAGTGCCAGTTGTTGATTTATTGCCTCTCATCTTCAAATCCATCTCTCCTTGCCTTGCTTGTGATAGTGAAGCTGGACCCTGTAAACATTTCTCCTTTTTTTTTTTTAAGACTTTATTTATTTATTTATTTATTTGACAGAGAGACACAGCAAGAGAGGGAACACAAGCGGGGGGAGTGGGAGAGGGAGAAGCAGGCTTCCCCGCTGAGCAGGGAGCCCGATGCAGGGCTCGATCCCAGGGCCCTGGCACTATGACCCGAGCTGAGGGCAGACGCTTAAGGACAGAGCCACCCAGGAGCCCCTCTCCTTTTTTTTAATGATTCATTTATTTTAGAGAGAGAGAGAGTGAGCATGAGTGGGAGGGACAGAGGGAGAGGGAGAGAAAGAATCCCAAGCAGACTCTGCACTGAGCACAGAGCCCGACATGGGGCTTGACCCCACGACCCCAAGATCACAATAGAGCCAAAACCAAGAGCCAGACGCTCAACTCTCTGAGCCACCCAGGCGCCCCTCTCCTTTTTCTATAAGGAATTCTCATCCTGGTTCTGTGCTGCTCTTCTTCCCTGAAGCTCTTATGGTGGATGGCGGCCAGGAGCACAGGACAGCCAGTGTCACCCCATTTGGTGGCACCATTTGGGGGACTTCCCAGTGGATTTCTGGCACCAAGCAGCAGGCCGCTTCCCAGTGAATTCCTCAGTGGACACCTCAGTGGGCACCCTCCTAGTGTTGCTCAACGAGTCTTGTGGACACCCAAACGGGTGGCATCCAGCAAGCTGAGCTGACACTCCAGAGCGCTGGCTTCCTGCTCAGCAGCCCTGGACTGTAGCGTCTCAGGGAACTTCTCTGCCATCTGGTGGTCCCCAGCCGCTCCCTTTCAGTGGGGTCTGCTGAGGAGAGGGCCCTCTTCTAAATTTGTGTCTTTCTCGAGCACTATGCCTCCACTCTGGAGGTAGTGGCCGCTCTTTACACATGCTACCACTGTGTTCATTAGAATTTTCTTTACTCCTTAGTAAGTAATCTCCTGCGACTAGTTAATCATTTTTTATGTTAAACTTCCCCTGTGTGAATTACTGTGCGCTTTCTGTCTCTGAACTGGACACTGATAAAAATGTGTTTTGCTCTTAGTCACTAGAAAAAAACAGAGCTTAATTTTATTAGTTCAGGATTTGTTTTAGTAGGAACTTAAACTATGTGTAATGTGAGTACATAAGTGAAGGGACGGCCCCAGGTGCGCAGTTTAGAGAGGGTATTTGCTTTCTTTGGCTGCCTATGTGAGGTATTCTTCAAAGTGGGCTCCATGGGTCCCTGTGAACAGAGCCTGAGTCAACTATTGCTGTGACACAAACCGCCCTAAATGCGATGGTTAGAATCATGATCATTTATTATTTCTCACGTTTGGTAGGAGGACTCCAAAGTCACAAGACAAATGGTGAAGATACAGGAAAGGGTGAAGAATCAGGGTTCAAAAATGCACCCTACCACAGGGTCCAAGGACATTACCTAGGGTCTGTGAGTTTAAATAGTATTTTGAAATTTTCAAACTTTTTTTGTTTTTGAGAGAGAGAGAGAGCTCGAGCCTGAGAGTGCACGTGGGGGTGGGGGAGGAGCGGAGGGGCAGACGGAGAGGGAGAGAGAATCTCAAGCAGACTGACCGCAGAGCACAGGGCCCCACTAGGGGCTTGATGCAGGGCTCGATCTCACCACCCTGAGATCATGTCCCTGGAAATCAGGACTTAGATGCCTAACCAACTGAGCCAGCCAGGTGCCCCAGTATTTTGAAATGTTCAATTCAGTGAAAAAATAAATCACATTGTGATAATGAAGTCACAGGACTTCAGTTCCTGCATTTGTATTTATGGTCTCATTCCCACCAAGGGATCACCTTAAGTAAGAGTGTACAACTTTGTTTGAGGGGTTATAGTTTCTTTCTATGTTTCTTTCTTTTTTTAAGAGATTTTATTTATTTATTTGAGAGAGAGAGAGAGAGAGAATGAGTGGAAGGGAGAGGCAGAGGGAGAGGAAGGAGCAGACTCCCCACTGAGCAGGGAGCCCGACATGGGGCTCGATTCCAGGACCCTGAGATTATGACCTGAGCAGAAGGCAGATGCTTAACTGACTGAGCCACCCAGGCATCCCATCTTTGTTTCTTTCTTTGTTTCTTTGTTTCCTTCTGCCTCTCTCTCCTTTTCTTTCTTTTTTTTTTACTTATTCAGTGTATCCCAATAAACAGTCATCATTATTGATTATGTGTTCATCATAAGCTTTTATAGATGTAAAACATATGAAGTGTGTAAACTGTAAGGGTATACTTCATGAATTTTAATAAAGTGAACACTTCTGTATGTTATAGATTTACAGAAAAGTTGCAAAGATAGTTCTCAAATACCTCACACCCTGTTTCTGTTATTATTAACATCTTACATTACTATGGTTATAGTTGTCACAATTAATGAAACAATACTGACACATTATTATTAACTAAAGCCCATAATTTATCCAAGTTTCCTTAGATTTTTACCTAATGTCCCATCCAGGGTGCCACATTACATTTAGTTGTCATATCTTCTCAGGCTCCTCTGAGCTGTGATGGTTTCTCTTTCTCAGATTTTCCTTGCCTCTAGTATCCTTGACAGTTTTGAAGAATACTGATCAGGTATTTTATAGAATGTCCTTTAATTGGGATTTGTCTAAGGACTGTATTTTAATTATTGCTGGTATATTTAGAATTGTTAGTTCCTCCAAACATGTCACCCAAAATGTCAGAATTAGAAAATTTACTTCAAACACAAGAAGTTTGAAAATCACTAGTCTATGTCACAGCAGACTATAAATTAAATATACATAAGTGAAGTTGTCAAGATGTTTATTCCACCATTCAAACTTCAGTTTCAAAAAAGCCAGGTAGGTTTGTAGACCTTTCCCAATGTTTGGATAGCAATCTCAATTTATAAACTGCCTGCATGTCACCCAAAATGGACCAAACCATCAGCTACCCCCCTGCGTTCTGCAGCTCAACTTCAAAGGGAAGACAATAGCTCTTCACTAAAGGGTCACCCTGGTAGTGATTCATCCCAAGGTCAAAGGGAAGGTTAAATAATAATGAAATTTTGTTTCTTTTCAGCAGAAAATATATATTTTTAAAGGAGATAGAAATTTATTGAGTATAGCACAAGGGAGAGAGTGCCACAAGGCAATGGTGGGGGGGGTGTGGTTGTCAACAAAAACTACTTTTAAAGTACAAGCAGAAACAATCAAACTTTCAATGAAATGTTTTCCTCTTTGTATTTTAAATGAGTAACATCCAAATTAGGGAACAGAAAGAATTATATCCTATCAATTTGAAATGTCTGGTACCATAGAAGTACTCTAGTCATGGAAACGCTGATGTCGTTACCCTAGTAATTAAATCCATGCAAGTTACAGACTTCACTGAAACGCCTTTTAGGAGTCCACTTTGCTCTCAATGATGAGAGTGAAGTCACTGATCACAAGTGTTTGGAGCACTTAACATCCCTGGCAATGCTGTCAACGGTACAATGTTTAGCTCCAGAAGAAAGACTATACCCAGAATGTCCCTTGGAGCTCAAAATCAAATTATCTGTACTGCAATACACACAGGCCAAAAGACGTGTTCTATGAACCAGAAAGTACTCACCGTGTTGGCCAGCTCCAGATAGCTTCCTCCTACAGAGCTGCCAAAATGCCGTGACTGTGTGAGCAGTTTGTGGAGGGCAGCAGCCTGCTGATGCAAAGAGCGTCCACTGTACTCAAGAAGCTTCTGCAGGGCCCACTGACTCTGCAAGTCCGGGCTCTGGAGGTCCCTGGCTCCCGAGTCGTACTCCCAGCTCTCCCTGGCTGCTGATAGGGCACCTACGTCCAGGAGAGGCAGGAGAAATAAAAAGATGTTTCCTTCATTAGCCTGCGGGTGGCCAATAGGCGATGATCTGGAACCCCCTAAGCCTTCCTCGTGCCAGCATGTCAGAACACATGTGGCGCCCAGACTGTGTGCTAAGCCCTTTCTCTTTCAAATAGACACATGAGGAACCTGGAGATAAAAGCAGTTTCAGGCCAATCGTTCAGAAATAACTATCCAATGACTGTATGCCCCCCAAACAGAACCACTTGGCAAAAAAGCACCAGAGAGCCAAGGAAAGGAAATCCAGAGCAGAGCCACATCTGTCTGTGATTTGCACAGGGTTACCGGATGATCAGCCTTCTTATTGTAATCCTTCTCCCCAGTTGAGGAAGAAGGGAGCAAGTGAGAAGACAGAAAGTTCAGACATGGCACTTTCTCATAATTTTCTCTTATCCGGAAGAAGCTACAGGAAGCTAGACAGTGTTTGCCAGTTAGGTGTAGCCATGCGGCTGAGTTCTGAGCAGTAGAATGTGAACAGAAGTGACAAGAGTCACTTCAAGGCCTGGCTCCTAAAACCCCCAGCGTGCGGTTCTCCATGCCCTCTGCCTTCTGGCCTGGTTCAAATGGGCATGGCACCCCTGGAAGCCGTGGGGTACAGATGATGAGGCCACAAGATGGAGGATGCCTGAGTCCCTGAATGATCTCCTGCAGCAGGGCTGTCTGCTGATCCCAAGCACCCTGTTTTGACCTCATGTGATGAGGAAAGGGAAATTCCTTTGGTCACTAAACATTTTTGGTTTGTTGGTGAGAGCAGCTAGTATGACCTTAACCATTACAACAGATTAAAACCTAATAAAAGATATTAGTAAGTATAATACAATGGGAAAGTACAATGACAAAGTAGACCTGGAGAGGGGTGGGGATGTTCAGGGAAAGCTCTCTGGAGGAGAAAGCCTGATGCTTCAGTTGTCACCGTGGCCAGAAAAATTAGTTTTGGGGCAAAACCCTCTTCCCTGTGTTGCTCCCTTCTGAACAGAAGTCCCTTGGGTGCAGCCGGCTGGTGGGGCCTGGGTCACATGCCTCTGTGTCTTAGCTGCAAGGGAGACTGGGAAATCTATTTTCTGGCTTCTACTTTGGGGAGGCAGGATTTGTAAGGGAGACCTTTCCTAAACACAGGAAGAGTATTTCAAAAGGCCTAGGCAGCTAGAAAACACAAACGTCTATACACAGGCACTGTGCTAGGTACCGGGGATGAAGCAGTGAGCACGACAGATCTTAATTCCTGCCTGTGAAGTTTTCGTATTGGTGGGTCTTCAACACATGACTTTTAATGGCAAAAAAAGGGGACTCATTAAAATGATTCCATTTGTGCTATGAAATGAGAACATATACAGATTACCCTATAATTTACTTGAGTGTAATTACATATAGCAAACTACAAATTATGTACAGTGAGTTCTGATATGAATGTCCAATCTCCCCTTATCGGGTATTGGTGAGTTTAATCAATGTGATTAGGTAAACTTTCTTTGCCTGGAACCACTTAAGATGTTTTCCCCCTGTGGTTCATGGTCTGATCTTCAGTTGTTCTGACCCAATACTCTCTGTACAGTGCTGTGTGGCTGCAGTGACATATCTTTGTATTAAAGCACTATGTTTGCAACTGCTCAAAGTTTCTTCTTTTATTTTTTTATTGTTTTTATTTTTTAAAGTTATTTATTTATTTGAGAGAGAGAGAATGAGCAGGAGTCGGGGGAGAGGGAGAAGCAGACTCCCCACTGAGCAGGGAGCCCGATGTGGGGCTCCATCCCAGGACCCTGAGACCATGACCTGAGCCAAAGCCAGACACTTAACCGACTGAGCCACCCAGGTGCCCCTCAAAGTTTCTTTCTTTCTTTTTTTTTTTTAAGATTTTCTTTATTTTTTTGACAGAGAGAGACATAGCAAGAGAGGGAACACAAGCAGGGGGAGTGGGAGAGGGAGAAGCAGGTTTCCCGCTGAGCAGGGAGCCTGATGCAGGGCTTGATCCCAGGACCCTGGGATCATGACCCGAGCTGAAGGCAGACACTTAACCACTGAGCCACCCAGGCGCCCCTCAAAGTTTCTTTTAATATTAAAGTCTATCAACTGTATTGCAAGGGTGGTTTTGCTTTCCTTCAATATAGACTGCAAAATACCTGCCCTCCTCCCACTCCCACTCCTCTGAGTGATCTCTGCCATCTGCCTACCTGGGTCACATTCTCTGTCCTGGCCCAGCAACACGTGGCAAGAAGACTGCCTGAGGTCAGAGTTGAAAAATGGTTTGAGTCACAGAAGCCCTCCTCTCTCCCGCAGAAGATAAGCAAGCATAGGGTTAGGCCCTTGCCTTTATGTTTCACCACAGGACCCGGTATCTTACACACGGCCTGCAACTTCAGGCATTTAATATACATTTAGTGAGTGGATGGCTGAATTATCCATGGTTGTGGTACCATACATTTTATGTGGTACCATAAAAGGGTTTCACTTCTTAACAGGAAAAGCAACATGAAAATTAATTTTTAAAATCAAAATAAATTATACACTTAAACTTTATCTCTATGCAAACAGGGAGTCTCATTTTCAAATAATAAAATACAACAGTTCTGGGATAAGACGGCCCAAGGAAGCTTCATTTGAATTTATGATGCTGTATTAACAGACCTAAACCCAATTTCTGGCAGAGTCATATAATCAGGTTAGCCAAGCTCCATGTTAATCAGCAAGATCAAAAGGCCCTCAGACTATTACCATAACAATTTTTGCCAAAGTGATGTTGAGGAATTCAGATCTTCTGCTAGGGAGACAAGTCAATCACAGCATCCACGTGAATGGACCCCAGAAAGGGAAGTGCACTTTTTAAATACAGTTCCCTATTCCCATTACTCTCTTTCTGGAGAAAAAGATTTTTCTGATTTTTCTGGATAAAAACCAACATTCCTGAGGCAAAATTAGTTAATTAGGATGATCTCACTGAAAACCATCAAAACTGTAGGTCTGATAACCATCTTCCTTTTGCCTTTTGAAGTATCATGAAGTTTCCAGGCTCACACTCACCCTATAGCCGGCCTTACCTCACTCCCTTGCTAACCTCAAGAAAAGCCTGTTGACCTCGGGGAGGTGACTGTGCTTTCTTTTCCTTAACACGGATACCATTACCATTCTACTGTCCCCTGATGCTCACGAGGCTCTCTGGTCTCCTCTTATAAGGACACGAATCCCATCATGAGGGCACCATCATCATGATCTCATCTGACTCTAATTATCTCCCCAAAGTCACATCTCCAAAACCCTTCACACTGGGGCACTAGGGCTTCAATATGTGAATTTGGGGGGGGGGAATACAAACACTCAGTCCATAACAACCAACTGAGCTATCGCCCTCTGGGCCAGTAAGGACACTGATGGCGTGGCATCCCTTTAAAGACCAGAGGCCAAGCACTGCCCGGGCTTAGAGTTCTCTGCATGCCCAGGATCAGAGAAGGCCATCATTTCTGCTGTGGTAAATCTTCAGGGCACTCTGAAGTAAGGGATAAGGTGTATTCTCTTATTTCAAACCAAAATATTTCGTGTTTAAAGGTGGCGGAGCACAGATTCTAAATGTTTCCCTTAGCAGGAAAGCATGGAAAACATCTGGTGTTTTGACATGTCCATAAACTACATCACTGGGGAAACCCTGGTCTCGGAGAAATACTGAAACAGAAAGTCTGTCAAACACTGAGACCCTGGTTCTGCTGGGTACGTAGCAGCTACAAGCTCGTGCTCTAATCCCACCTTCAAAGTGCCACCCAGGTTCAGCTCCTGCAGTCGCTGTGCCTATTCACCAAAGGCTCAGTGCAACCTTCCCAGCAGGCCAAACCCCCCATGAGGCTAAGGCAAAGCATTCAGAATACCTTAAAGTCACCTCAGAGACAGGAACAACCATCATGATACCTAACATCTACTCGAGGCCACTAGGAGCCCGGTGCTGTTCTAAGCATCGTCCATATATTATCTTATTCAGTTCTACCCACAGCCTAGGAATGACTAAATCATTTTCCCCAGTTTTAGAAGAGGATATTTTCTCTCTCTTGGCTTATTTTTGTTGACATTGCACTGTTTGCATAGGATAGTGGTTAAGAGCTAGGGTTTTGTAATCAGATTGCATGGGGTCAAATCAAGAGTCACTGTGACCAACTATGTGATCTCAAGCAAGTTACTTAGCCTAAGCCCCAGTTTCTTTGTCTTTAAAATGGGGATGCTGAGATGTTCTTCACAGAGGTGTCGCGAGAATTAAGCAAGATGAAAATATGTAGACAATGGAATATGACTCAGCCATCAGAAAGGATGAATACCCAACTTTTACATCAACATGGATGGGACTGGAGGAGATTATGCTAAGTGAAATAAGTCAAGCAGAGAAAGTCAATTATCATATGGTTTCACTTATTTGTGGAACATAAGGAAGAGCATGGAGGACATTAGGAGAAGGAAGGGAAAAATGGGGGGGGAATCGGAGGGAGAGATGAACCATGAGAGACGATGGACTCTGAGAAACAAACTGAGGGTTCTAGAGGGGAGGGCGGTGGGGGGATGGGTTAGCCTGGTGATGGGTATTAAGGAGGGCACGTACTACATGGAGCACCAGGTGTTATACGAAAAAAATAAATTGTGCATCATTACATCAAAAACTAATAATGTACTGTATGGCGACTAACATAACATAATAAAATAAAATTTAAAAAAATACGTAGAACATTTAGACAACCCCTGGCGTATAATAAACTGATCAATGAATGTTAGCAATCATCTGGTCCCATCTTACAATTCTAGTTATTTGTAATTCATTTTGGACAACTTAATAGGGAACACTATATGGGGGAGAGGTATACTCTCTCCCAGCTTCTAGAAGGTACCTGTTGAAAAACAAACCTTTGGCACCAAACCAAAATTTAATCAATGGTTTTATACTTTAATACTAGGTTCTTATGAAGACAATATATAGCCAATTAGGTCA